AACGAAAACAAAAAAAATTAATAGCTAAATACACGTAAAGTAGAGATCGACTAAATGCCCCATCGGGTAAAGGTAATGAAGCGGGGTAGGCAGGCAGAGGAACGACACAATAGGTTCAGCTGTGTTAGACGGAAACCCAATGGTTTGGCTGCATCCACTATCACGAATCGTTAAAAATAAATTTATTTGGTGAGTTATCTAATTATTCGTGTAACATGTGGCATACCGTCAGAAAGATTGTTAACTAGAGAAGTTTTTAATTACATTTGAAAACCCCGTACTCTTTTATGTTATTTTTTTATGCTTATTGTAAAGTTGACGTAACATTTTTTCCCATTGATTTAAGGAAATTTGTTGCTCCACTGTTACTTGTTCTCCAACTGTTTGTATCAAATGTTGGTTGAATCTCAATGAAGTAATAGTAGACATCAGAATAAAATCAATTTTGCGTCGTTGCCACCGTCAATAGAAAAAAATATTGGAACTTAAATTTAAAAACTGGGGATTTTCTCGAAAAAATAAAAAATCATTATTTCTCCTTAAAACAGAGGCAAAATGTAAATTAATTATTAGCTGTAAATAGTCAGTAGCCTCAGCTATCCACCATTTCTGTTTGGCTACTCACCCTTCAAACACCCTGTATTTTCCAAAAACGTATAAGTTACATTGTTTTAAGAAAATATGTTGAGTCCTGATGTCTCTAATATATGTGAGGGTAGAATTTATATTTTTAGGCCAATATATATGTTAAATAGGATTTAGATTTCTATGACTATAATGTAAATTATAACCTCTAATGTTAAACTGCTTATACTGTTTAAATTGATGGAAACACTTCCTTAAACAAGAATATCACAGTAGTTCAAATTATCAATTAAATGATCACAATGTTACTAGAACGTTGTCAAAATTATTCCTAATGCTCCTAATATTTACATGAATACTAAGTGTTAAAAACCTGTCTCTAGTATTCAATTCCGTGATGCTGATGCTCTTTTAAAGGTCTAGCTTAGGTCTGTCCAACATAAGTAAAGTGACACATTCTAATATGATCAATTTATTTAAATAAGCCTCATTATTTTACTTACGAGTATAATATTTCGGTAGGTACTATTAAAATCTAATTAATGAGATCTGACATTTTTCTGTTTGCAGTGTTAGCTGGTATTTTAGAAGTGGCTACGTGCAAAATGCCTGTAAGATGGGTGTCTAATAAAGATGCAAACAACCACACGTACTTTACAAAGTCCAATGACTCTTGATTTCTTGCAGATAAGGTCTCCCAATGAACAACACTACCTTATCCATCACGTGTTTCAGGTCAAGTACTTTTCCATACAGCTGTTCTTGTTGAATAGTAAAGTGATGCAGTATGATTGTATGTGTGTTGCGATTGCGCATTAAAGCCCACAAATCCATTTGTTCTGTCATTGCAGGTACTCCGTCTGTTGTTAAGCCGCAAAGATTTTCGATTTACAGTTCATATTTTTGACTATACAACTCTTTACTTCTCCGTAGATATCTTCTTCAGTACTTGTATCTTCGGAAGTATTTTTGAATTTTGGATGAGAGATGTAACTGGCTCGCGGGCTAGACCAGGCCGTACGTTGGACAGGCCAGGCCTAGCTCTTCTAATGCATCTGCTTTCGCGTTCATGACTATTGGCGTTACAATTTTCAGTCGCTAGATCCTCCCCCAGAATTATTTCTGGATACGCCATTGATTGAGCAGTCTCTCAAATTGTAGTAACCAATTACCATGTCTAAATCAACTAACTACACACAGCAAGACAGTATTTTAGAATATACTAAAATTGTCTTATGTTTTCTCTTTAAGAAAGAGTAGAAGGCAGGTAAACATCAGATTGGTTTGAAAGTCATAGGCGGAACGTTTTGTTGGGAATCGACATTGAAAAACAGATCGGGTATAATGATAAGTATCGATCTTTCACGTCTATAACCATTGGAGGTTAGGGGGATTTGGAGATATCTTTAAGCGATTTTTTCAATTCATCTTATGATTCTTGGACGCTTGGCGTCTCCCTATCAGTCGGGGCCTTCCGCCAGGAAACAATGGGTTAGAGACGGAAGGGCGAATCTTCTTCATGTGCCTTGCAGTGACTTTTGAAATGCAAAATCAATTGTGATCAGTGATCACCTGGTAGATTAAGGACTGAGTGGCACTTTTATGTGCACGTTTCGAATTCCGTCACCCGGCTGAACTAGGTAGTCTTAGATGAACAAAATTAACAAATTGTGACCGAGGAATCTGTTTAACCTTAAGAGGATTTCTCGGAAAGCAAAAATTTTATAAACTTTTCCGCTCAAAGGTGCCGAACCTCTGTCTACAAAGCAAGAAGTATGTAGACAGAAAGTGTTTTAAACTAGATACTGGCTAGCCTAGCACTTACCGCTTATCTATTCAATACCAAGCATCCAACCTACCATATCCAAATTAATCAAACTACCTCCTCCCTGAATATGGAATTTGAAAAAAAACTTATTTTGCTTTTCAAAAGTCGGAGATATATTGATAAATAAAGATATCATCTACTTTGAAAATCACACCATATTGGAATTTAATTAAGCCTACACCTCATCAACAGCAATAACCCGCCGCCACTGGGAGGAAAATCTAATCAAGCCGCCTGCTCCTATAGAATGCGGTTCTTTTTATCTATAATTTATTACTCCGACATTACCTTCCTCATCCTGCTTTTTACCGACTTCCGAGTTAAACAACGTTGCAATTCGCTATATTTGGAGGCCAGAAAATGTAGGAGGTATGGGCAACTTGGATCGCTCATTTTTGTACATCTACAGGTACATATATGTAAATCATTCCGTACGACTGTCATGCCAGTTTCTGATAACAATTTAATAGTAAGCGACCTTTTTGCTGCTATTTTCAAGTATTATAGCCCTGTTATGAGTCTACATGACCAGAATAAATGTCACTCATTTCATAATCACTGAATAAGATGTCTACAACTATATCAGTACTTCCCAAGCTGGAAGAATTTTGTTTTCCCTTCCAAACTCATGATATACAATCGGTACTAATAGACACCGTTCTTGGCGGGTCAAAAGAAAGACTACCAATATCCCTTTATAAGTACAGGGTGTCCCAGAAATAACACGCCAGAATAACACGGGAGGTAGATTGGCTTCAGATCAATCAGATGAATCAACAGGACCTGAGTAAAAGTTTTCTAGTTGTCGAGATCTTGCCACTTTCAAGTTCTTTAAAAAAATTCCCACTTTTTGCGCCTTTTGGCCTGTTATGGCTATAAAGAACTTCTAACTTATGATTTCTTTCCTGGGGCTACCATTAATAGTTGGTTGAGACAATCGAGTATTTATTTCATTGAGAAACTAGCACGGTATGCTAAAAAAAATTATTACATTTGGTTCCAATGCAAAAAACCTTGACCAAAGTTTTACTAATTAATGTGAAAAAGACCGTACCAGCAAATGACATTGGAAATTGAATGTTTTCTCAAAATAGTACATTCGTAGGCTCTTTTTACTAAAAACTGAATAATTCCAAGTTTTGTCAGTCAAGTCGTAATACTTGCGAAATACTACAAAAAAAAAAACCTATAAAGCTATGTACAGATATGTAAACAACCACCGCGAACCGAACCACGCAACCAACCGCGCCGCCTAGTGTAGACGGTGAAAAAAACGCCGACGCGAACCTGATAAGCGTTACAGCTCGTCGTTCGGCCCGATCCCAGACTGTCGGCTTTTCAGCGTAACATTCAAAGGAAAGGCTCGCGACGAAGTTGCACATGTTTGGACAGGGATATCGGTGCGGCGAGCACGCGCTCATATCAGTAAATGGATAGAGCCCGTGAAGAAAAGAAGGAATGGTCGGAGGAGAAAACTCTTTTGCTTATAGAGCATTACAGAGCAGGGGAATTGTGGGATGCAAAGCATACCCTTAATTACAATAAATAAAAAAAAAATGATGTCTTTCACTGAACGACAAACATCAAAATTAGATCGTCATTTTTGTTGCGCGATGTGGTTGCACGACGTGGTTCGGTTTGTGGTGATGCTCGTTGCAATGTTGTTCGTCAAAATGCGCGCGCTGCAGTTCGTCGCGAGGTTCGGTTCGGGGTGTTGTTACATATCTGCACATGGCTTGAGATGTCAACTTGCAGATTAGGTAGTTTTTAGGGCGCAAACAGTCATTCCACGTTTGCTCACTAGGATCATTGTGAACGTCCATCTATGGAGGAATCAATCAAACTACGCATTATTGGTTGCATAGTTTTGTGAGGCTGAGTGATCCGGGTCTGTAGTTTTTATCTCTGAGAAGAAAGTCGGCTGAATAGCAAGAGCGCATCTGGATGATTATGTGTATTGGTCTGTATGTGTATAAAATCACTGATATTTGCTGTGTGAGAAAATCATTACTGAATATGCTGAATATGACGGGTTATTTATATGTTGTGCTTTCTAAAGAAAGGTTATGTTCAAAGTTATAAATTACGAAAAACTGAGGAGAATTACGGGAAATCATCACCGCGCCCGCGTTGTGTGTAATTACTGTTAGCATGTATATGGCTTGTAATTCGACAGTGTACAGTGAATATAATTATTTCTTATCTCTCTCATTTTGGAATTCAGTAAATTTGTATAGGTATGGAATTTCTAGAATGGATAAGAAAAGTGGATGCGCAACTAATTTCTAGCTTTGAATCTCACTTAGGTGTATTTGAGTCACGAATCCAATGTAATTATCATCAACACACACAACTTACAGCTTAGACCTCCAGTATTGCCATCTCAGAAGCAGATTTTACATCACATCAGAGCCAAAGATTGATAACAAGCCTCATGACGTTTAGGGTAACACGTACACTAGGTGCTTAGTTAACATCTTGCAGAATCACCTACATAATGTCCAAACAAAACAACATGTCAAAAAAAATCGGCATAATTAGTGATGTGAGCGAGAATATTCTCAAAACATATATTCTCGAGAATATTCTCGTGGAGAAAATTCTCGCCGGTAATTTTCTCAAAATGTTTTTAGCAGTATGGTGTACACGCCGCCTTACCGGCTGGGCGTTACCGTCGGAAACCTACTTTTAGCGAGCCAAACGGACCGCGTGGGGAATCCCGGAATCCTAGAGGTGTTTATTTGTATTTCGTCTGTCATAACCTGCAAGCATCGCAAACCGAACGACAGTATTAGAATTATTTTTCGTTTTTTGAACACGTAAATCGTCAAAATCATGAGTGATAGGAAAAATAACCAAACCAAAAAGTAATGTGTGGAATCATTTTGACTTGAAAAAACTTGAAGGAAAAAAGTAGTTTAATACCTGCAATTTTGTGCTAGTGAATATGTACAAAATGCTACAAGGATACTAAACACTTGTTGAAGTGCTTAAAATGTCCCAGTAATATTAAGAGAGACTTTAAAATAGTAGGATCAGAACATGTATCATCTCCGTCGAGTACTGCAGCTTCATCTTTGAAAGGTATGTATATGGAGGATATATTGAAAAGAAGGCTAGTTCAAGGGGTATAAGTTTGTTGTGTTCGGGCTTGTGTGTTTACTGATGGAACAGAAATTTTATTTTAAACATAGATAGTGAGTTAACTATAAAGGATATATTCCGGGATAATTTAGAAATGTATGCTTTATTACATGGACAGCTGGAAGGATATTTTTTGCTTAAGTTAAATTCAATCAAGTCAAAATAAAACATTTTTTTCAGATCAGTGTGAAGAGGAGGAAACTTTAACAAAAGCTGCCAGCATATCAGGTAGCTTTGGCGGTAACTCATCAAACTCTTGTTCCACATACGCAGATTATGGATTTTTCAAATAAACAGGAGCAAGCAAAGTTGGATCAACTATTTGCAAGAGCAGTTTATGCTTCTGGAACACCATTTGCAATCTCGGAAAATAAACATTGGCAGTTATTCTTTCAAACATTAAGCCAACCTTTAAAATGCCCTCACGATATTATTTGTCTAATCAACTTCTAGATACAGAATATGAAAGCATCGCAGCCAACATACAAATTAAAATAAGTGAAGCCAATGCTTTAGGCGTAGGCCTGCAGTGCGATGGTTGGAGCAACAGGAGAAACGAATCCATTATTAACTTTATTATCACCACTCCCACACCTATTTTCTTCAAAACTTTCACTACTGACACAAATCGACATACTGCAGAGTACATGGCCGAAAAAATTAGAAGAGGGTACTAACAGAAATAGGACCAGAAAAATTTAGTGCTCTAGTGACGGACAACGCCAGTGCAATGGTGAAAGCCAGGAACAATATTCACGAAAAATATAAACATATATCTGTTTACGGTTGCGTCGCCCACACACTTAACTTATTAATAGGAGACATCTCAAAAATGCGAACTATGGCTTCGATAGAGGACGATATTAAAAGTATCGTTAAGGAAATTAATAATTCTCAACTTTTACTAGCCACTTTCAAAAAGATCCAGACTGAAAAAAAGGGGACATCTGTACCAATATCGCTAAAGTTACCCGTCAAAACTCGATGGGGATCAATTACCCACAGCTTGAAAAGTCTGCTTGATACCAAATATGCCCTTAAAGCTTTAGCAGTTATGTGAAACTGTGGATACTATATTGAGTAAGCAAGTAGAAAGATTAGTTTTAGATGAAGCTGTATTTTGGGTATAGAGTGTTAAAACTGTTCAATTTAATTAACCCCATTGTTGAATACATAACCAAACTAGAGTCAGACAAGCCAAAACTAAGTCAAGTAGTAGAATAGTTTCTATAGTTTGGAAAAACATTTTCAAACAGTGTTACCTTCAAGTCCCCTTACAAAGCAAGAAGAGCAAAATTTACAGGAATTTTTAGTAAAAAGAAAGCGTATTGTCATAAACCCAATACATTTGGCAGCTAATATATTAGACCCTCGTTTAATGGTGTTCATTTGACCAATGAGGAGCAAATTCATGGTACTGAGTTTATTGATAATATGGCTAACTCTCACTACCCAGAAGACGCAGCAAGTATAATGGCAGAATTGGCGTATTACAGATCTAAAGAAGGATTATTTGCAAAACCGTACGTTCTAAGGTCCATCGATACTTTAGAGCCGGAAAATTTGGTGGAAAGGAACCTGTTTTGGAACAAAACTAAGTAAATTAGCGGTTCAAATTCTGGAATGCTGCGACTAGCGCGGCTACCGAAAGAAGTTTCAGTACATATGGTTTTCATACACTCTTCAAAAAGAAACCAACTGACCGCTGAGCGAGCCGGTAAAGTTACTTTCATAGCTCATAATTTAAAACTATTGGACCAGGACCAGGTATCAGCGATGTCCAAACGGTCCAAATATGCCGAAGAGACCCTTAACTTCGCACTGTCAGTCGAAGGAGAGTCTTGAAAAAATAGAGGCAGTGAGAATGATAATGGAGTCTGACGATGGTGATGAGTCGGAGGCGTCAGAGAATGAAAACTGTGATCTGGAAATTTTTTTTGACTCAGATTCATTTCCTTAACTTCATTTTGTTTAGTCTGTTCAACTTTTACTTTGTTTTTTATGTTTTTGAAATAACGAGAATATTTTTTTATTTATCTCCAAAGATGGAACATAAGTTATTATATTTTGTTTTGTTAATGTTCAATAAAATCTTAGATTTTGTGTAGGTTTTACTACTTCTAGTAGGTCGTTGTCAGAAAATTCTCATTATTGAGAATATTCTCGAGAATATTCTCAATTTTTTGTTCTCGAGAATTTTCCATCACTAGGCATAGTAGCAACCTCAAGTGATAACTTTCAAGTTATAGGCAGTTGTAAGATTAACGGACAGACCGAAAGACAGACCGACGGAAATGAGTTGCATGGTTTTTGTGATGCACATGTTATATACCGTCCAAAAATGTAATATCCCAATTTCGAAATTTTTGGTGAGAACAATACTTTATCGCCAGTTGAGTAAATATGTAAAAGACTAAGCCCCTTAGATTCACTGTTTCTCATAAAACTGTTACAAAAGCATGAAGGCTTCTGTGAAAAACACTTGCACTGTTGAATCTATAAAACATTTTTAATGTATTTACGGATCATACGCAAACTAACAAAGTGAAATCTATTACTAGAATCAACCACTCCGAGAGTAAAAACATCAAACTGTCTGTTGGAAGTGCATTTCAATTCGCATTGTGAGCCGGATCACCATGCTCACTTGAATTTGACAGTTTCCGTCGTCACTATGTTTTGACTTAGGTGAATTTGAGAAATAGCAAGAGCATATTCAAACCTCTTAACACTAATATTTTCGTAGGCCTCAGCGGCTATTATATTATCGCGCGCGGTGTACAATTTATAATTCAAACACTTTTTTCTTCTTTCTATACATCTGTAGGCGATCATATCGAGAGAGCCCTGCCGATGTCGGTCTGGTATCTACTTAAGCCTCGTTCAACGCCCCTCGCCCCGCTCTTCCCTCTCCCTTTCTAATCCCTTTCGATTCCTGTTTTGCAATATAAGCAGCTTAATGTTTGAAAAAGTTTCCTAAGCCTTTTTACTTTTCAAATTATGCTTTGCGTTAATGGCTGGCGCCGCCCGCGAAGAGGGAAGATTTGAAAAAAAGGCTAATGCCTCTAATAGCTGCATCAAGTAATGATGATGAGTAATCGTGTTGATGGGAAACAGTGACGTATGTGCTTACTACAGAAACGCATACCATTACCTCCATCAAGGTCTGTCTGTGCAGATTTTAAGGGTTCTGCTTCCAGTTTGCTAGTCTGGTTGGCCACATGTCAGGGTTAGAAGAAGGAAACGAGGGTAGAGGGAAAAGAAGGAGATTCTTGTTTCATTGTCTTACGAAACGCGTCTGAGATAATTAAACGAGCTCACATGTCTATAAGGCTTATAGAGTACTTTCCAAATACTTATTCCACTTACTTTTGAACGGACCAAGTTAACAGGTTGAAATTGTGATTTTGGAAATTTATAAATAAAACTGAGAAAGCAATTAGTGCCTCATTTTCAGGTTTCCTATGAGAACTTATAGCTATCCCGTGCAAAATCACTATCTTTCAAAATGGCGAAATGGCAGGCTGTGGATGTTGAGCGTTTTCGTACATATTCCATCCTTAAATTCCATTAAAAAGAAAAGTGAAAATCTGTGCTGTATATTAGCCTACGATCGCCATTTACCGACAACACTCCATTCAGCCACTTCGAAGCAACAATAGTAGCAATTCAAGGTCTCTAATTGGTATGTACTATGTAACTAGCGCCCAACCCTTATGTTATGCAGGGTGTCCCAACTAAAAGGAAGGTAAGTTTTATGGGCAAACTGGGAAAGATATGAAAAATCCGTTTTCGTGGCAGCCTTGATATGTTACTTGTGCATATTTTAGAATTAATTTTAATATATAGAAGTTTTCTTCTATACCAAACATGTATTTTTGAACAGAATACCCTATATGTTATTGCATATGTGCATAGCGCTTCTCAAAACAAGAGGTTTGACATTATATGGCATATGCTTTCGATCGTCCAATTGTTTGATATTTAGTGAAATATCTAAAAAACTCCTAGCTAAAACCTCTCGCGGCTCCGCCATTTTTGAAGATATTTTCATAAATTTTAGTTGACATAAACATTTCTAAAATATATTTCTACTATCTCAAACGGAAAATGTATATATTCACATATATTTCAAATGAAACACACTGTATGATTCTACATAATTAAATAGCTTTCTTGGGAACTTTTTTTTTAGAAGTGATAGAGTGGTATAAACCTTATACCATTTTCTACGAACAGTTTTCGAGTTGTTGTTATTAATTACAAAAACATATATTCCACATTTATACTTAAAATCAGATCTTCCATAAAAACAATGAATGTTTTCGGACAAGACTATTCTTTGCTTCAGAAAGTCCTTCATTTTGAAATTGTTGTAATACTTTCCAAGTAGTTCTGTTGATTCCCAGATGTTTGAACTCAGGTCCAGTATTTTTTCACACTACGTTGTTTCCGCAACTTACTTATACGATTCCCTATTGCATTTAACTCGAAGAACCTTATGTCACTGATAAGACCTAGCGGATCTCAGAACCGTATCTAGACCGCTGGCGTGATACTTGGATAGGGAAAGGCGGACAGATCGATTGACCAACGAGATCTCCAGATCTGACGCGTCTTGACTTCTTTCTCTGGGGCTATGTAAAAGGGGAGGTTTACCAGGAGAAACCTGCATCTCCAGAGAACATAAGCGAGTCGTACCAGCGGATACCTAGACAAACCCTTTTAGACGTGCAATATAATATCAACAGGCGTCTGGCCTTGTGCGCTTTGCACCAGTCTAATATATTCGATCAATTAATTAACGATTGATTGCTTTAGTCTTAGATTAGTTTTGTTGTGTTAGTATTGCTTTGATAAAAGAGTTAAATACGAGATTTGTTTGGATTTTCTTGAAATTAGTAAAAACAACTCAAAAACGTTTGGAAAACAGTTAGATAAACCTTATATCAAAAAAAAGTTCACAGAACAGGTATATAACGATTTAGAAATATACAAGGTGTTCCATTTGAAACGTTTCAGAAAAGGCACATTTTGCGTTTTGAACAGGAAAACATTTCAGCACTTTCTCCAGAACAACTTAAAATCGAATATAATAAAAATTTTGCGAACTAAGATTTATCTGAATATCTTCTAAAATCGTAGAGGTGCCAGCCAACAAAGCTGGGCATTTGTTCAGACGTTTGACCCAATATCCAAACAATTATTCACAATAGAAACCATATGTTATATGATATCAAACTTCTTGTTGTTGGAAGATCCATTCAAATATACAACAAAATATATGGTATTCAATTCGAAAGAGAAATATTTTTGCTATGGCACGAAGTTATACAGGGTGGCCCAGCAAACAGGACGCGCCCCTATTTGTGACTCTCTTGGTACATTTTGGTAAAAATGATAAGACACAGACAATACAGGGTGATCCAAAAACAAGATATTGCGTTACACTTTAGATGTTTAAATGGAAACCCCTTTTTTAATTTTTAGATTCTCCACATTTTAGTAGCCTTTGTATAATTCGGTATAAACCTACGTATAAACGTATTTTCAGTCATTATGAAGCTATTTGAGTTTATAATAAAATTCTAGAAATTGCGATAATAAGGATTATATTGTAAAAATAATAATCAATATAGTTCCCATAGTAACAAGACTTCACGTTAAAATTAAAAACAAGTATCAGAGTATTAAATAAACAAAAACAACTCACAGTTTACACAACCATCAAAGTAAAGGTAACAATTAATTCATTTTCTTTTACCTCCATGCAATAATAAAGATTTTCTTCGAATCTAGTCCTCACATTTTCCAGGATGTCTTGACATCCTTGTCTACATTAATTCATAATCCGCTAACAAAGATCTTGAATGGATTCTGGCCTCGTACTAAAAGCTTTATTTTTCAAATGCTCCCAAAGAAAGTAATCAAGGACTTAGGTTCTGAGATCTCGGCGGCTACTCGATGGGGCCTCGTCTGCCGATCCACTGATTCGGGAAATGTGTGGCCAAAAACTGTCGCACTGGAGCGACATAGTGCGACGGTGCACCATATTGTTGGAAATGAATGGAACTTTCATTATAAATAACGTCATTTTCTATTATTTCGGTAATTCTTGGCCCTATTATATTTTCTAACATGTGCAAGTACGTCTCGCTCGTCAGGTTTCCATGAATAAAGTTTCTGCAATATGATTTCCAAAAATTCCGTCCGACATATTTACTTTTTCAGGATATTGCGACTGCTCCTCTCGAAAAAATCTGGATTCGAGTCACTCTCATATCGACAGTTAAGTCTATTTACAGCACCATGTAAACGTAGGACGTTAATTCGCAAAACTCCAGCCTTCTATCAAAATCGTCTTTATTAAGCTCATGGACAAGTTCTATCTTGTATGGGAGAAATATTTTGTCTTTCATTATTCTTTGTACGGTTGAGCGTGTAAATCTTGAAGAAGTAGCCAGTCCACGAGTGCTTTGGGTATTGCATGTCCCAAAACTGCTTTCTGCGCCTTCATGGCGATTACGGCGAACATAAGACGCAGATCCAGTTTCTTCAAATTTACTTATAAATTTAGCCACATACTTATCGTTAGTATTTTTGTCTGGATGTAAGGCATTAAACAACCACGCAGTAGCCCTTGCAATGCTCCCATTTTGGGAATACAGTTTTCTTATTTCTACCCCTTCTTGAATTGAATAAGTGATTGTTCAATATTTATCACAACTATGTACGTAACTTGGCAATTTGAAATGAATGACAAAGTTTTTCTACGACATACGATGATACTGACTGATGCTAAATGTTCTTGCTGGTATCCATGATTATTATTTTTTGCCGTGGATTCCATTATCATCAGTATTAAGTTAAGTTAGTCGAATTTTAATATAAACTCAAATAGCTCCACAACAATTAAAGATAGGTATGAACTTTATATACAGGGTGTCCCAGAATATGTGAATCAAATTGCAATCAATTGCAATTGCGGTACAGACCTGACAAAAAAAACGTGTAACCTTTGCGTTAAAACAAAAAATCAGTTTTTTTTAAAAGTATGACTTTCGTCAAACTTTCGACGACAGGTGCCTCGTTTAGGGTTTATTTTAATTTTTTTTTCACTATTATTATTAGCGAATGGTTGAAGCATGGAACTGCAAACAGTTTTATTCTAAAAGTCACGTAATTTTGAAATCGCAGCGCTATTTTGGATTTTTTTTCTGCGTCAAAAAGTTTCTTGCAAGTTCGACTAACAGTGGTATAAGAAAAATGTATGGGACTTGTTTGGCAAACCTCTCCGAAAAATAGCCAGTTAATGAAGATTCGAAAATGGTACAAATCAGGTAGTTTACCTCAACAGAGTAGGAAAATAAAAATTCTTAGAGTGCAAGGGCGAAATTGGTCAAATTTCCAAATTACAATTTTTAAATAAATTGCCTGTACGTTCAAACCATTGCGTGAAACCTTAGAATCGGCATCAAAAAGTTGTTTCAATGTCCGGTAGACTGAACAAAACACATGCTAGCTCGCTCAAGGTCGGCTAAAATTATTTGCGTTGTCGCACTTATTCCCGGAATTTAAGAAGGGGGACAGGGGCAGGCAGCGCAGGTAAAACTGGATCGCGCTAATAATACTAGCGTTTTGTGTTATTAGTGATGTTGTCGGAACGGGGCCCCCCGCGGCGGCGCGATGCTGATCTCGCTCTCATCCATTTATTCAGTACGACGTTTGACGGTCTGTGCTACACCTGTGTTCTAATGTCTCCTGTGATTTAACTGTTACGATCTTGGCTCTACTGTAGACTTTGAACTATTTTTGCTCGTGATTCGGATTTGTTTGATGAATCTCAACGGCTTGGCGCTACTGTGGAAATTGATTTTCTGCACAGTATGGCTAATCGACGACCAGATAAACATAGTTACACGGCAAGCGAGTATGCTGACATGCATCTTGCTTATGGAGAAACAAGGCATGTTAACACTAGAGGTGGAGCAAGTTATTCTGCCAGGGAAGCTGCCAGGATTTACGCTGAGCGGTATCCGAACCTTCAGCACCCAGCTTATGAACTATTTTTCAGAGTACACAACGCTTACTCACAGGGTCGATTTTCTGGTGGTCCTCGTAGTGAAGGAAGACCTCGGAGACATAACAACGATGTTGTTGTAGAGCACGTAACAACGGATCCGTCGACATCGCTGCGCGCTATTGAACGAAGAACTGGCATTCCAAGATCATCGGCACACCGAATACTGCAAACGTTAAGATACCATCCGTATCATGTTCAAAAAGTGCAGTCTCTTTTCAATAGAGATTATGCACCACGTGTACAATTTTGTCGAAAAATGATCGAGCAAAGCCGAGAAGACCCCAACTTTTTTAATCGAGTTTTGTGGAGTGACGAATCCACCTGTAAGAAAGATGGCTATACAAATCTCCACAATCTACATAGCTGGCAAATATCAAACCCTCATTTAATAAGAGAGGACCGTTCTCAGAACCCGTTCAAAATCAATTTATGGACTGGGATTTTTAACGGCAGAATTGTGGGTCCAGTGGAATTACCTGCAACATTAAATTCGGCAAATTATTTAGAACTATTGAGAGACACATTGCCGAGACTTTTAGCAGAAGAACCAGAGGATTCAACACAAACAATGTGGCAGACACTTTGAACATCTTTTATGAGAACCGTAATTGGTTACTTCTTTATTGATGTTTTTGGTTGAAAATTGAAAGCACTTTTCTGTGTTTTTTTAAGTTTACCTTACATTGAAACACCAGTTTTTGATTCTTATACTTTTTTAAATAAGTATTGAGCTGTGTAACAATAGTTTGAACATTCGATCAACGTGAAAAGCAATTATGATTTGAAAAGTGTAATTCTGAAATTCGACCCATTTCACCCTTGCACTCTAAGAATTTTTATTCTCCTACTCTGTTGAGGTAAATTACCTGATTTGTACCGTTTTCGAATCTTCATTAACTGGGCTATTTTTCGGAGAGGTTTGCCAAACAAGTCCCATACATTTTTCTTATATCACTGTTAGTCGAACTTACAAGAAACTTTTTGGTGCATTCATCCATAGGTACCTACCGGAACAACTCTTTCCATTCTTTCTTCTTATTTCTATTTCTTTCAAATGTTTGCCGCAGATGCGTGTAATATAATCCACCCTGAGTCTGGTCCACAAACCTCACCGAACTGTCATATTGTTGGAGCAAACAGAAGTTCTTCAACTTCTTGATATTGTTGCTCATCCTAAACAATCACCTCTGCTTATCTACTATCATTAAATCAAAAAGCGGACTGGTAACTGACCAAAGTTTGATTAAATGTAGCGGGTCTTATTCAAACACCAAACCTTAAAGCAGTCCAGAGACTGAAGTCAGATTCAGACTCAACATTTCAACCGGTTTCACTAATTGAATTTTATACACTTCTTATATCTCCAAACTATCCCAATGCATTAGGCATATGACATTGCCCGGTTGTAACATTTCTTCGTAATAGGATTGATCAGTCATATGATAAGACTGATGCCTAATTGTTCCCCCGTAGAGTGTCAATGACAAAAAGTTTAGAGTTTATCCATCTTGACAATTGCTTAAGTCAGTCTCTACATGAAGGAGTGCCTCTGAAAGGAATCCCCAGTACATGTAAGCTCTTGTACTTAACAAAAACTCATGAAATATGCGGACTCGTAGATTATGGCACTCCTTGCACAAACAGCTGTCATCTCCTGGAGACGTTTTCACATTCTTCCGAGTAATGATAAAAATACTCGACTACTTTAGACAAAAGCTTAAAATATACTGACTAAATAAAACTTGCAGGATTTTAAAAAAAAAACTTATCCGCATCATGTCAAATTGCACTGTCGTAGCTCGTTCTTCCTTGGTATGTGTTTGGCAGAACGTTTTTCCTTTGATGTGTAAGGTTGACTTTCTAAATAACAAACAGCAACTGCAATGCCGATTTGTTACACTAAAATGGCAACAAAAATATGTTTCGCTTAAATTTACGGCAGACACTTCCTGTTCCTCAGAAGGAAAGGGATATATATTTATTTTATTAATATCGTCTTTCCTGCTACATCCGGTGCTACAGCAGGAATTCCTGCGGGGATCCAAGAACAACATATACGGATGATATAAATAATAGGTATGGAGTACTCGGGGAAGTTGAGAAATGTATACCCCGGATCAGGGAATTTTTTAGGATGTTTTGGTCAACGTTGAGTGCTCTCTTTGTCAATATATATTTATGTTTGTTTTGAGAGTTGTGACTGCTGACCTGTAACATTCTAAGGGACCAAAACGATAATATATGGGCCAGTGCTCGACGTATATGTGTAGTTTTTCCAAACAGGTAGCTTTTGCAACGCCAGTAATGTTGGCTGAGAATTCTGGCAATACCGGTAAGCTGAAAAACGGATTCAACCGCATGAGTGTCAAACTGTAATTATAGTGGGTGTAGTTTAACTTAAAAACTGAATGAAAGACTGTGATATGTGGTTCGAAAAAAAAAAACAAGCGCCCCAGCGCTCAGTCAGTTATAATGGATCACATCAAAAACTAGTTTTCTCCGCATGACCCCGTTTTCTATAGCTGCTGACCAAAAAGATCTATAAACGGTAATGAAGAAAATCATAGTTCCAAAATACCTATTGATGTTCCTTGAAAATGGTTTTGACTACGTCCCAAAGACGACAGAGGCTGAATGGAGACAAAGTTTCGATATCTTTTGAAGATTTGGACCACTCACAGTATCAATTATTATATTCAAACTACATCAGAGTTGATGCAGCCGTTTTCAGAGATTCGAAAAAACAATAATAATTTTCACTAAAAATGTGCAGTGTGTCCCATTTGACAAAGTACAACTCTATTCGGAAACACTTTTACGAAAAATATTTGTGTGAAGGACTTCATATAATATTTACAACTTTTTTCTAAACGATCATATAAAAAAGTTAGACTTGGGCCAACTTACAGTGGAACACACCGTACGTAGATTATTCATTTATCTCCAATTCTGTATTTTAGTTTTGTCGGTTACACGAAATACAATATTCTGCAATATATTATACTGAAATTGCTTTTGATAGCGATGATAAATATGACACAAGTATCTTTACTGCACCTGTATAAATCAAATATAACTCAAAGCTGTACAGCAAGAACCGGACATGGAGCTCTAGATAACAATAATTGCGCACAATCCATAAGAAATTGATGGAATACGTAAAATATGGACATACGAAGCCAGAAAGATTGCTTCCCAATTCTCAATCGAAGCAAAGCAAGAAACAATCGGGATCGGAGCCAAGCCGAAACAAGCCAAGGCACGTCCTAAATTCGATTTTAAACCGCCGAACTGACGTTATGCATCCGAGCAACACCTTTTTCTGAAGTTCAATTCGCAATCTCCAATGAATGGTGGCCGCTTTTATTTATTGCTGGATGCCCCCTCGGTCCCCATGAAGCCACCGATGCAGCCGCGGATTTGAGGTACGAGCCACGAGCGTTGCGAACGGGATATTTATGGGAAGTCAACAAAGATTTTAGTTAAATCACGCAATTTTGTGTCTTCTTCATGTGCCTTGTCCGCTAAGAATGCCGGCTATGCTGAGTAGTCTGACAGATGACAATCTAAGCCATTAGTATCTTATCCTCCCTAGTCCCCTCTTACTGTCTATATTCCCTTGGCTGATCACCTACAGTGGTCTATGGCCCAATTTCACCAACAACAGTTCGTTATTCTCCACCTATAGGGTAACAGACCGTCAGATACAGTGAATGAGCTTCAAGTTCCAATCAACAAATTTTAGCAACCAATATGAAATGTTGAAAACAAAATACTGTCAAAGTATGAGATGACAACTTTTCATTGAAACATCACCAGCTTATTGAATATTAAGAAATTACATATAATTCACTCAAAATTTTAAGAAATGTTTGATTTTTGAATTAAATTCATGTTTTAATTACTAGTGTTGATTTTTATTCATGTTTATATTTTCTTCAATTGATATGTGATGCTGGATGTTTTTTCCTGTAAACCTCTTGCAGATAGCCATTAAGCACATACTTGATGACAGGCTCTACCAAAAGATATTGCTCGTTTCCAGACATTCATTCATTTACTTGCCGTTCATCAGAACCATTATGGCACCTTAGATTGATATTCCCACAAAACCATTCAGGTTTTTTGATATCCATACATCCATAAAGTTGAATATCTTTCGTTGTTCAGGAACTAATCAAACATCCACACTATATTCACAGCGATTAATAAATTCCCAAATATACGCCTTAAATACACCATAAAACCTGCAAAAAACTACAAATTTGCCATATTTTTCTTTTTTCACGAGTACACATTCTAGGTTATATTTAGATTAGACATTATTTAAATACAGCTGATTATTGCATTTCAAGGAGTGACACATGTGTGGGATCTGTCAACTCTTGGTACCAGTCACAAAACATATTATACTCTGAAGGTTTAATTCCATGCTATTCAATCACAACACGGTGACTTGTATGGTTATCAGCGGCTATTTTGTGAGGGTGCGACAGGGTTGCCAGATTGTGCATTAATATCCCGTTTCACCCTCCTAGTCCCAGTGGAGTAAGTTCCGCCAACTGTTGAAATATACTCTACTATGCTTTATAAGACTATTTGTGACATTTTTCCCAAAATCATTGCACAACACTTGAAAAAATGCAAATGAAAATTTAAAATTATTTCCTTGACGCCGCAATATAGCTCCGTCGGTACCTTGGGTTATACATCTTGACAGTAGGGATGTTCGATACGATCCTATATTTAGAACTATCAATACATTTCACGAGTATCATAATCTTTCGATCCGGACTGTGTCAGAAAGAGTGACTGCCATTTGGCTGCGACATTACCCTGCCAAATCAGACATATCTTTCATCATTTTCAAAGAAATTGTACAAAATCTTCAAATTTGTGAAGTTAGTGAGTTTCACTTCATACGATGTTACCAGACATGCCCAAATCATCAGTTGCTGCCGTGATATTCATCCCGACCACTGCATCCCCAAGGCTAGGCTAGGCCACCTGTATGTTAAATTTGTATTGATAGGGCAGCGGGTTATGGTATAAATCATGTCACAGTGTTCGTGCATTGATTGCAACAGTTAGATGATACCAAAACTATTTTCATAAATAGGAGATCTTTCCCATTCCGGATCAAAAAATCTACCAAAGATGCTTATAATCATGATACCTAGTAAATTTTCACGAAAGAAATTCAAAACCAGCAAATGTAAAAGATTCATTTCGCACCCTCCACCACGGGACGTGATCGTCGTTAGACTTGGCAACCCTGCGAGAGTCAGATAGATATCTCCGCCAGTCAAAAAGAAAAATAGACAAACAATAAACATTACTAGTTTTTTTGATTTTTGTACTTAAAAGCCATTATCTGTGAAACATTTTTCATAATTTTTTGTCTATGTCCATGCATTATGCATCAGGGAGATGTAGGGATTGACACGTCTTACACATATTATCTGTGTTTTAGGATGGAGAGGACATGTTTTTATTGCTATTCAACAGGTATGTAATGATAACTTTCAGTATATTGAGGTTGGTAAATTCGAGAGTGTCATGCATTAACAAACGTCCAAATCTGCTGCCAAATTTAACAGCTAGAAAATCGACCTATTATTTGCCGCATTCCCATTCGCTGAAGGGGATAACGGATTGTTAAATGTAAAAATGTAACATATATCAAAATACATGAAAGTTGTCCTGTTTTTTCTGTACAAAAGCATCATGTTGGAATCAAAAAGTGGTCTTGTTTATAATACAGTCGAATTTTCACGATTTCATTCAATATTTCAATAGATATCACTGATATTCAGTGAGCTTTGACAGCTTCCGTCAAATTGCATTTCGATAAGGTATTTTTCCATTGGTCCATAATATTAATGTTGGTGAAATTGGCCCTATATGTGTTATGTCTCAACATGGCCTAACTTCCTTATAGTTATTCCTATTCTGCTCTCCTTAGCTATCCGGCGACGTACCTTCACGTTGGTTACACAGTCGGTCACAGTATGTGCCAGTTATTCACATTTCGTCATTGTTTTAACACTCTTTTACGTACAATGCAGTGAAATGTATCAATTTATTTGACGAAAACTTTATCAGCAGCTCTTCTGAAAAAAATGGCGTCAAGTAGGTTGACTGCACTTTTCACGCAACACTGTTATCAGTT